GGAATGTGGGACAGCGGAAAAATGGATAAACTATCAGCATCACCTTTCGCAGACATGGAAGAAAGCTGGACTTCAAAGCATTCCGCAAAAAAAAACTATATTCACTTTAGGTCACATAAAGTGATAAAGTACTGCCAATTAGATTTTCCTACAATCAGATGACCAGTTCATAGAATTTAACCTAGCCTTGCCTCCCAAAAGACACTTTAGTCTCAGGTGTGAATCACACCCTGGTTGTGGCAATGAAACATATAATCTAGACATGTTATCACAGCGCCAAGGTACCACGGGTACCAGCGGTTTACAAGGCGGACGTGAGTTTGAGGGCAAAATAGGCATCAAACATATCACTTTTTTAGAGGGATCGTCAATGAAGCAAACTCTTTTGCCATTACGATCGACTATATTACTTGTATTCCGATTGAGTAGCGTCCGAAATTACCAGTAGACCTTGAATAAGAGCTGTTGCAGTTATTTCGAAACCTACTCACTCCGAATATAGGACTGAAGGCATTTAATTTAGCCATAACGCCCAAAAGCTCTTCACATCCCGGCTGGACCGGACTGCCGGTTCATCCTCATCAGGATCCTAGACGTAAATTAAATTCGGTTAGTACAGCGTTCATTTTCGACATACTGCAGCCACAATCTGGAGCATCTTTCAATAGGGTGAAAAAAACAAACAGGCTCCACAGGACACCGCTAGGTTGTATGAAAAGGACCTCGGCTCACCGTTCATCATATGATGCACGTGATTAGAGTCAGAAACCAACAATTATGAAAGCGTAACAAAAACAATGAAAATCAAGAAGTGTAGCAGACTGCAATATTAGGTAAGTCTCCTGTCTTCAAATATTTGATCAGCAATAATATGTTTAGAAGAGTTGTATTCCCCCCATTTTGTTCAAGGTAATAAAGGACTGGTAATAGAATATTCCCCAAATCTTATGATTACACTTCATGTTTTCGGTGAATTTCACTTAGCATTGTTTCCAAAAAGGTATTTTTATCCAGGCCGAACTACAATTTCGACCTCACCTGGTTTTCATTAGCACCTCCCAGCAGGACTCGAACCATGGTGGCACAGGCTATAGTCTCGACAGGTTGCTCACTACACGACACCTTCACAAGTCTCCTAGTGTCAATTCACTGGATAAATGAGGTCCATTTATATCATTGCGATAAAATTCAACTACCGATCCTTCATCACCTCAAACGAAATACAGCAAATACACATCTTATATAAAATCTACTGGTAGTCTCGAAAACCAACTAACGAAGCGAACAATAACTTCATGCTTAGCCCACATGTTTGTAGATGAATGAAGTTAACGCATGAAAAGAAGCTCTAAGCTGTTACCTTGTCTAAATAAAAAAGAGTATGATTATACAGTGTTGACGCATTATAGGCTTGTGGATGCATATGCAGTGTGTATGCAATGCACCTGATTCAGCTTTTCTTCATTTTCTACAACCACGCTACAATACCACAGGCGCTGGGGTTCAAAGGTCACCCGGAACCGAGCGCTTATGAGGCATAGGCGAGGTCGTAAAGTCTACTCATGGGATTATGGGAAATTCAACCATTAGTCCTTCTTCAACTTATGCGACCTAGAATAAATGCAGATTTAATTCAATATATACTAAGAGCTTTTGAAACTTTAATACCTTCAAATTGTGGTACCTTTAATTTCTTGTAAAGGGGAAGCTAAAAAGGAATCATACTTTGGCTTAAGGTGATAACTGTAGGTTTGTGTGAAAGCCTTTTTAAACATAGCTATGAGGGCAAATATGTTGTGATCTCTATTTTGCTCGCAGTCTCGCTTAAATCAGTAGAAGTGGTGCAAACTATTTTTCGCAGCTTGCTTGTGTTGCTAAAGAGACCTAGTTAAGAGCACTTTGTTCGAAGTCATGCGCTATATAAGTTATCATAATTCCCAGCGTTGGAACGTGGAATTGGTACGCTCTCTGACGTTTCTCCGATATCGTCAGTGAGTCTTGTCATCCTCAACAACAAGCTCCAACTCGTCAAAAAAGACGCTGACGACTGGTGAGACGAGTTGTAGCTTGGTGTTGAGAATAGCACGATTCATCGACGATGCCGACTACGATGTAGCAAGTCCACGGTCCAACACTGGGAATTATAATAGCTACCATAGCAGAAGACTTCGGAAAAGGCGCATCCAACTAGGTCACTCTGGCAACACGACCAAGTTGCAAAAGTCTCTGTAATACATCAATCCGAGATCGACATCATCATACTCGGCAACCAAAAATTAAACAACCATCTGAAGGTGTAAGGACTTAGCATGAATTGATCAAAATGGTAGGGTAAGGTGCCAAGAGCATATTTGAATAAATTCACAGAATAAAGCAATCCTCGTTCGGATTCGCATTTCACGCGACTTTTTAGATAGAATGAGTTGTTTTATTTAAGGTATAGAGACCAAAAAATGTGGCTTATACTTTGGTCGCAGTCGTCTGGTGCTAGTTTGACTTCGTTTTTGCAAATTGGTAGCGCTGTCAAAGGTCGTGGTAAATGCATCTTGTCTGAAGTCCTCTGCCATTGTAGTCATAATAATTTCCTGCGAAGGATCGGAAACTTGGTATATCCTCAAGATTGCGGTTTGACGCTTGCAATTATAATGGCTAGTACAGAAGAAGACTTCAGACAAAAAAGACCCACTGACGTGAACCTGGCAATATGACCAAGCGGTTTAAATGGGAATAATGTTGGAGAACAATCCATTTCGTTTGAAGAGGCTAGTGGAGGGGATCCATAAGTTGTCCTCACCGGAAGCTGTATGGGGCTTGCCTTGGAGCTGTAAATGTAGAGTTATGTGAAGCGGTCCTCGGAGCACCGCCCTGCCATCCCGACGAAACATTGCTGAGCTTTCGTCCATCATGTGATGGACATCGTTAGAGCAGGACGCCATGATCAACCATAATTCACCCAAAACACGAAAGTAAGAAAGGTGGCCGGTTCAAACATACCTAATTCTTATAGTCCAATTTGGTCAAGTTAGGCATCTGATGTTTTGGTTGGATATCCCATGTTTTGCCTAAATGTTTCTTTAAACATTGAGTTAAGTGGCTATGGATGACATATGAAATGGCTGCAGATGAAGCGTGAAACAGGTGCACTTGTGACCGAACAGCTGCATCCACGATACGAAGATAAACTGGGTTTAGATGAATTTCTTGATAGTAAATTGGTATGAAAGTGAATGAAGAAGAGATTCCTTGGTCGATCTCACCAGATGAGGACGGATAAATCTCGTTATATGGCAGCCGTTTGGCATTTATACAATACGCATGTTGACGCAGTCCACCAAACTTCCTTCCTTGTTTCGGGTTAAAACGAGCTGAGCTTCCGTCCATCGTTTGATGGACATCACCAGAGCTGGGTGACATTCTTGTAAAAGTCTCACGTTAACACTAGGGCAAGAACAATATTACCCCGATGACTCCGTGCTGATCTTTCGTCCGTCCTGTGACTGATATCGTCAGAGCCACAAACCAGTATTCACGAAAGATCCCCAAAAATCACTAAACCGAGAAAGATGACCTATCTCTTATACTTCACTTTGTGATCATAATGAGGCATTCTATGATTTGGTTGGCTGACGTATGCTTGTCCTATGTGATTGTAAGTGGATCAAAGTGATGCAGGAAGGGGATCGGATTTGGTCGCAGCCCCAGTTGTCCTTGGGTCCACTGCCAGATGCCGGGAATTATGAGAACTACTATGGCAGACTACTAGGTGCGTTCTAAATAGTCGCCCTGACAACAAGACCGAGTTGCGACAACGAGGTCAGCCAATTTCTATAAATCGTAAGGAGACTGCGATCATACCAGAGGCCACAACGTCTTGGTCTTTATATAAGCTCCAGCTTAGTTTAATCTTCTCCTCTTATTCAGTGGCTCTTCCTGTTTTCTCTCCTTCCCTATCTTTCTCATTGTATTTAGAAGCCAGAGAAAGTTTTTACGTAGTCTCCCACATTCACTCCTCTTATTCAGGATGATGTTTATTTTGTTAATTTCAGTCGAACCCCTGATCTTCCGCTTAGCTGTAAAGTCCCCATAACCGGCAGAACGTTGAGATTTAGACTACTCTATCTGATGTCCTGTAGCGACCACATGTTCAGCCACTTCCGATTTCTGAATCCATAAACCCTTGCAGGCGGTTCTGTGTTCTGATAGCCTCTAATGAATGGGTCGACAAGTACCCCCTTCATAGACATTACCACATGAGCACAAAACCTTATAACAACCTGATCTGTAGAGGGCGTCGGAAGATTCTCTTAAAGAAGACATGATCGAGGAAAGCGTTATTGTTTCTTTATACATTGTCTCGACCCTCCATTTCCTCAATAATTCGCCTACCTTTATTGAAAGATTGCAGGATGGTAGCATTAGGAACC